ACTACTTGTCATCCACAAACTGATGGACAAACAGAAGTGGTTAATAGGACGTTGTCAACCTTATTGCGTTCTATTATTTAGAAGAACTTGAAGAACTGGGAAGAGTGTTTGCTGCACGTTGAATTTGCTTATAATTGGAGCGTCCATTCAGTAACTAACTGTTCACCATTTGAAGTTGTGTATGGTTTTAATCCACTCACTCCTTTAGATTTATTGCCTTTACCTATTGACGAACAGGCTAGTTTGGATGGGAAAAAGAAAGCTGAAGTGGTTAAGCAACTGCGTGAGAGGGTGCGACAAAACATTGAGCGACTAACTGAGCAGTATGCAAAACAAGCCAACAAAGGACGCAAGAAAGTTGTATTTGAACCTGGAGGTTAGGTTTGGGTGCATATGCGCAAGGAGCGATTCCCTGCACAAAGGCATTCTAAGCTGCAACCAAGAGGCGATGGACCATTTCAAGTGATTGCGAGGATTAATGACAACGCATACAAGTTGGAGCTTCCTGGTGAGTATAATGTTGTGCTACTTTTAATGTTTTTGATCTTTCTCCTTTTGATGTAGGTGACGATTTGAGGACAAATCCTTTTGAGGAGAGAGGGAATGATGGGAATCAAGACGACAGCATATCTACTATGTCATGTGATCCATTACACACCCAAGGAGATCCAGTCACGCGAGCTAGAGCTAAGAAGATGCGTGAAGCTTTAAATGGCCTTATTGAGCAGATCCGGGTTGAAAACAACATACAACAAGCAAATCGAAGCTTGGATGATTATCAAGGCATGGTAAACATCATTCAGGTTCAAGAGAAGCTTAGTTGAAGTCATTTGCACGGAATTACACAGTTTGCGTCAAAATCGCACAATTCTGCCGCAATTTGTAGCAAATTGATATTTCATGTTATTTTAGGTTATTTTTAGTAATTTTCACGTTTTTTGTCTTATTTTTGGGCTGAACATTTACTTATTTGATGCCCAATTCGTGGTTATTAGGTTTAGGACTTAGGGTGTTAATTTCCTATTCTGATTAGGATTTGTTTTCTCTATTTAAAAGGCTTGTAACCCTAATGGGGAGGAGCAGATTGAATCTGAGTTTTTGAGAGACTTTCTCTTTGGTTCGTTTCAGAACTTTACAAAACTTATCAAGATTAATTCTTGTGGCGTTCTAATCTGACTTATCATTCTCGTTCTTAATCGTTCAAGGGTGTGGCGTCAACCAACTTTATACCTCTGGTTCTTGTTGCGTCATAGACAACGGGTCATAATTTTTACCTTTGGTTCTTGTTGCGACATAAACAATAGGTCAAGGTTCTATTATAAACCTGATTTGGCTTTCTTGGAGTTTAGAAATCCCTTATCATGTTGTGGGTCTCATTGTTCTCTTTGGGGTTCTCATCAATGCAGTGCATCTAACATGTCATCTAATCTAAGAATAGGGTGACAATACTTTACAGTGATTTTCTTGACAGCGCGATAATCAATGCACATACGTTAAGTCTCATCCTTCTTAGGACAAGTAGCACTGGAACTGCGCATGGACTCGTGCTTTCTCTCACCTGCCCCTTCCTCATGAGTTCTTCAACCTGCTTTTGAAATTCTTTCATCTCATTGGGGTTGCTTCGATATGCTCGTCGGTTTGGAATTGTTGCCCCTGGAACGAAGTCAATCTGATGCTCAATTCCTCTTATTGGTGGTAAACCATTAGGAATGTCCTCTAGAAACATGTCCTTGAAGTCCTGCAAAAGAGATTTAACAAAAGAATCATTAAGTTCGTTAGTGTTGAAATAAGCATCTTTATGTAGAAGCACAAACATAGGCTGCTTTGCAAAGAACGCAGCCTTGACATCACTTTCTTTTGCATAATCACTCACTGATTTTCTCTCTTTGTTTTCAACACTCTCAATCTTTTCTCTCTGTTTGGACTCTTTTTCTGCTGTTTTCTCTTTGTTTTTCATACCTTTAAGCTCATTCTCATTTCTCAGTTCACTCTCTTTTTTTACTCTCAGTTGGTCCTCATAAACCTGCCTTGGACTTAATGGTGCAAGACTAATTGTTTTCCCTTCCATGACAAATGAATAGCAATTTTTGAAGCCATCATGTGTTACCCTCCTATCATATTGCCATGGTCTCCCTACAAGTAAATGTCCAGCATGCATAGGAACCACATCACAAAGTACCTCATCCCTATATCGTCCAATAAAGAATGAAACTAGAACTTGCTTATTTACCTTGATTTCTCCACAATCTCAAGTGTTGCTCACACCTCTTACCTTTTTCCCTCAGTCAATTTTTCTCTTTCAATTCGTTATTGAACTAAACAAGCTAATTCAAGTTATTTTGCAGCAATCAAAATCCAACAAATCTGCAACAAGAGTCAAAGGAAACAGAAAGACATAAAGGAACAAACAAGAAAAGCAATAAAAGAACCAAACCCAAACAAATTAAAATGAACAGATCAGTTCAAGCACTTCCTAGTAGGACTTGACTTGACTATTCCTTAATGCAGTAGGATTCCTAACTCAAGAAGGAATAAACAAAATTTGCTATCCCCTTGTTTGAAGTGAAGTCAAAGAGAATTTCCAACTCCTTATTGTAGTAGGATTCCTTCTTCCAACTCCTTATTGTAGTAGGATTCCTTCTTCCAACTCCTTATTGTAGTAGGATTCCTTCTTCCAACTCCTTATTGGAGTAGGATTCCTTCTTAGGATTTGTGATGGGAATCAAGACGACAGCATATCTACTATGTCATGTGATCCATTACACACCCAAGGAGGACCAGTCACGCGAGCTAAAGCTAAGAAGATGCGTGAAGCTTTAAATGGCCTTATTGAGCAGATCTGGGTTGAAAACAACATACAACAAGCAAATCGAAGCTTGGATGATTATCAAGGCATGGTAAACATCATTCAGGTTCAAAAGAAGCTTAGTTGAGGTCCTTTGCATGGCATTACACAGTTTGCGTCAAAATCACACAATTCTGTCGCAATTTGTAGCAGACTGATATTTCATGTTATTTTAGGTTATTTTTAGTGATTTTCACGTTTTTTGTATTATTTTTGGGCTGAACATTCACTTATTTGAAGCCCAATTCGTGGTTGTTAGGTTTAGGACTTAGGGTGTT